ACTGCCTGCCTGCTTGGGCACTGCCCTCTGCATGTTTTTGTTGGGGTTTTTTTGTTTGTTTTTGTTTTGATTTTTTAGAGAGAGAGATAGAAACATCGATGTGAGAAAGAAACATTGATCGGCTGTCTCCTGCCCACCCTCTATTGGGTATCGAGCCCATAACCCGGGCATGTGCCTGTCCGGGAATTGAACCAGGACCTCTCAGTCCATGGGGCGACACTCAATCCACAGAGCCACACTGACTGGGCAAAGGCACCGCCCTCTGGAGGTATCCACGTCATTGTGAGCGCTGGTTATTGTGGGCCCGGGACTGGCAAAGTTGGGCCCTGGGCAGTGTTGTGCTGGTGGGCCCAGGGGCTGAGGGACACCTTTCTGATCCTTACCAAGGACATGGTAAGGATTCTGATATGTTAACAGTTCTGATGTGTTAATAGCTTCCCTGGCTTCCGGTCTTGGGGGCGGTCCCCTCCTGCCTCCAGTGGTTCAGGTCAGGCCCTGCTGTGGGGAAAGCTATCTGGGCTCCTGGGAGCAGGCTGGGATTCTGGACCTGGTGGGGAGGCCCAGCACCGGAGACCTTGAGTGCCAACCCGAGCAGCAAGACATCGCATGGAGGGCAGGAGACCCACTGAGGATTCAGACAAGCAGCTGCATGCTGAGAGCTGATGGGAGGGGGCTGGGCACCTGGAGGTGCGGGAAGTGGGGGTAGGAGAACAGAGGGCCAAGCAGGTAGCCCCCACTGTCAAGGTTGTCAGAGAGGATCCAGGGGAAAGCACTGTGGGGTGAGTCCACAAAGTGGCAGCCAGGTGCCCAACTCCCCAGCCCCAAGGCCATCCCCAGGTGAGCTCAGCGAAGTCACTGGCTGTCGTGCCTTTTAAGGAGACGATGGCTCCCGCCACCTCCTTGTTCCCACTTGCTCAGAAATTCCCAACAGGTTATTTTTTTTTCCAGGAGGAATGGAATGAGACTCTTTGTTCTGTCACTGCAGGATTCCAGCCAGGCCTGTCTGGGGGTTCTGGTGACAGGAAGCACACACCAACAGGCACTCAGACATGCACCTTTAAGTGACATGCATAGGCACAGACTGCAAGAGACAAGGACAGCTGCTCCATCCACTGCAGGCACACAGAAACGTCTGGGGACCTGGTCTGGGACATCAAGACACATGCAGAGTATCAGGGAATAACTTTAATTGAGCACCTACTATATGCCAGGCCCTGGCTGGGGAGGCAAGGGGGATCCAGTCCCACTTCACTTAGCTCCCTCAGAACTTCCTCTGAGGAGCTGCTTCCCAAGAGTCTGAGCCCAGAAGCCTTGTTCCCACCTCAGGGCCTTTGCACCAGCTGTTTCTGCTGCTTGGGTTGTTCTCCCTATAGAACTCCAGCAGGCTGGGTCCTTTACATCTCAGGTCTCAGAGAGGCCTCCCCTGCTCCCACCACTTTACCCCAGTGGCCTGTTTGCATTTTTTTTTATCTTCACCTGAGGACATCTTTTGCATCTACAGACAGAGCAGGAGGGAGAGAGGGAGGAAGAGAGAAACATGGATGTGAGAGAGACATATCGACTGGCTGCCTCCCGCACGACCACAACCAGGGCCAGGGACAAATCACATCTGAGGTACCTGCCCTTGACCGGAATCAAACCTGCAACTCATCGGTCCGCGGGCCAACACACCGCTGAGCCAAAGTGGCCAGGACTATGGCCTGTTTTTTCTTCACAGCATCCATTATCCCTAAAACTGTCTACTGTTGACTGCTGCTCCCAGCTAGAACCCAGGTTCCTTGAGGAAGGGCCTGAGCTCACCCGCGTCCCAGCACCTGGACAGCTGCCGTCCACAGCAGCTCTCAGGATTTGAGCGCAGCTGCACTCACCCCCACACACCACAGTAACACCCGCCACTCTGCACACCCACTGGGTCTTTCTCACTTGGTGCCACCACCACTGAGGCAGCATCACTACCAATGTGACTGAGGCTTAGAACTGTTCTGGGATGTGTCCAAGGTCACTCACTGGCCAGAGGCGGGGCAGAAATGAGGACTGGGATGTGGGGATGGTCAGCAGCCAAGGGCTCAGCCCCAGGTCAAGCAAGCCTGCCCCTGAAAATGACTTTCTTTGCACGTGTCACGTGTGGGGACATGTGGCGACAGCCCATTCCCTGGAATGTGTAACTCTGGGTATGTGTGAGTGCTGTGTGTTCTCAGCCTGAGAGCAGACTCCTCTTCCGGATGGGGAGGGGACTTGCTTCTCTGGACCCTCCACCCCCAGAACCATCCTGGCTACTCTACCCACAGAGCCCTGGGCAGGGGGCGAGACCCGGCCAGGATGTCAGACCAGCAAAGCCCTTCCTACCTGGGCTGGGTGGGCAGCTGGGCTCCAGGGTTGGCCTATGGTGGGAGGGGAGGCCCACCGGGATGAGCAAAGGGATTAGGTGGGGCCAGCTCAGCATCCTCCCAGGACCCGACTGAACACGGGCACACGGGCTCCCGGGCTTCCGCAGCAGAGACCCCTCTGGTTGTGGGATTGACTCCCAGGAGTGGAGCATCAGAGAACACCCTGAGGGGAGGGGACTCTGCCCCCTTCAAAGTGGGTGGGGAGGCCATCTCACAGGGCTGAGGGGCTGGCCCAGCAAGGTGCCACCCACTCTCACCCCCTGGTGGCTCCATCCTGAAGTGCAGCTCCAGCCACTCCAGGCCCTGAATCCTAAAATGGGAAGCACTACAGTGTCCGAAGTGGCCATTTAGGACCACTCCGAGTTCAGGACCTAGAAATGCTAGGCGAAGACACTTGGGGCTCCATGCTAAGGACTCCTGCTCAGTGCACAAGCCTCACGCCCTGTGGCCGTCCTCCTCCTCTGGACCTTAACCTACATTTTATGGCCTTCATGAGGGTGCCATGCTCATCGAGGACCCGAGGGACAACTTGGACCACCTCCATTAAGCTTTTTACCCGAGTCAGCACAAATACATGGGATTTCAGCCCACCAGCCCTCCCCCAACTCACCCCTTTTTCAGATTAAAGGCTGAGGGAACCAGAGCCCAGGTGATTGGTGGCGGTCCTGAGAGCTACCAGACTGGACAGGTGCTCCAGCGTGGTCTCTACTCTAAGCTGGTGGGCATGCTGAGGAACATGCCACACGACCAGACTTGGGACGGTGGGCCCTTGAAATGCCACCTAGGGTTCACTGAGGCCAAGCTGATCCGAGAGGTCAGTCACAGGCCTGGCAGTTTTGAGCTTACAGTAGAAACACCAGCATTCTGGTGACAAGCCTGGTCAACAGCAGGTGCTCAACCAGCACAGCACAGGGTGGGCACCTCCTGCAGGGGGTGAGGCTTAGCCAAGTCCCCCAGGGGAAACCCAAGCCAGAATAGGTCCAATGACTTTCCTCAGCTGGGTGAGCCTGGCCAAGGCCTTTAACCTCTTCATGGCTCCTCGCATTCTAGTGGCGATGGATGAAGACATTAAACCACCAGGCCTTTCTCAGTCAACACTGAACTTTCCTCCCAGGCTCAGGTGCAGTGCAGGCCTTCTGCATGACAGCCCTTCTCCCAGCGCCAGAGCACGGCTGCAGATCACAAAAGAACCTAAACAAGCCTTAACTGGATCGTGCTCCAGCATGGATTAGTAACTAAATTGCTCATTTGCACACTCAGCAGACCCAAGGTCTGTCCTGCCGTGCCCATCAGCAACCCAAAGCATCAGGAACAGCAAGTCCACATGCCCTCCTTCCCATCTCCACAGCTGCCACCCAAGCTGTGCAAACACTTCTACAGCTGGGCCCCAGCTGCCTCACCCCGGTGACAAATGCTCTGCACAAAGCTTACTGCCTCAGGCTGGCCTGAGCAGTTCAGGGGCAGATCCAGCCTCGGCTTTAGCCCACCCCCCGCCTGCACATGCTCTGCTCCAGGTACCGAGCCAGGCAGGTAGTAAGGCAAAAGAGACCAATGGCATCAAGAAGCTACAAGGCCAAGGGCAAAAGGCCTGTGGGTGCACAAGGGCCATGTGGAAGCAGCCAAGCCCAGAGAAGGTCAAACCAGAGGCAGATATCACTGGAAAATAACTTTTATTATTGAGACCCCACCAGCTGCACAATCTGTTCCTGACATTAGGCTCCTTCTTCCTTTGCAATTCGGTCCTTCTTAAGTGGTCCCTGTGGGAAAAGGTTCAGTGACAAGGTTAGAGGTGGAGGAAGGCAGGTTTAAGATTAAGCCACATCCTAGTGGGGTCAGAGATTCTGGGCCAAGTCTCCCCAGCCCCAGAAGGGCAGTAGGCAGGCTGCCAGGTGACAGCAGCTGGGAGCCACCCCAACCCCAGCCTGAGGGCAGCCAGGTAGGTGCTCACCATGAATGCTTTCTTCTCCTCCACCGTCTGGAAACGGCCATGGCCAAACTTGGAGGTAGTGTCGATAAACTTCAGGTCAATCTTCTCCAGGGCGCGCCGTTTGGTCTGCACCAGCAAGGACTGTGGGCCAAGAGGAGAAAAGATGAGTTATGAAGAGCAGGGCTTTCTCTGCACCATCTTACTGCACAGGCCTGAGGGCAAAGGAGTAACTTATGTCTGGCTGGCTATATCCAAAGAACTGGCCTCCACTCGTGAAAACAGAAGTAAACAGCTGGGCCAGACTGGAATTTCCTCCTCCCAGGACTTCAAAGACGATGCTGAAGGAGCAGCAAACCCCCCCTTTCCTTTGAACCCCCCGCCCTAACAAAGCTCAGCCTGTCTGCGGACTGCATTCCTTATGCAAGTAAACCCTGCCCCTCTACAGGTTCCTGGGGAGGACGCCACCCCTGGCCCCAGACTCACCTTGCGGAGGGTGAGCACTCGCTTCTTGGTTCCCACCACACAGCCTTTCAGCATGACGAAGTCATTGGTCACTTCACCGTAGTGGACAAAGCCACCCTGGAAAAAAGCCCATCAGGTCAGCATATACCAAACATGAGGCCAGAAACGGGCCAGACACACAGGACCCCTCCAGGTCTAGATGGTCCCCAGCCACCTGACTCCAGGCTGCTCCCCTTAGGAAGGCAGCAAGGAACGCTTCTGCAGTCTGACTTGGGCACCGTGCCCAGTGCTCATTCCAGAGCCTCCTCAAACAGCTGGGCAATGACCCCACTTCTCACCAGCCAACCCCAAGCATCACTCTGATGACAAGCCATTTTTACAGGACAGAGCTGGCTGCTGCACGGGGACCAGTTCATTGACTGCAAACACAGCCTCATGATTCGGCCAAACCCCGACAGCTCCAGGGCCCCAGCCTCACAGGCAAAGCCTGAGGCAGGTTCACAAAGGGCGCGGGTGAAATCTGCCAGACCCAGGGCTTCAGAGGCTTTGAGAAGACAGGCCCATCACTCACCAGAGGGTTGATGCTCTTGTCAGACAGGTCGTAATCGGTGGAAGCATTGTTCTTAATCAGTTTCCCGTCCTTGATGAGGTAGCCCTGGCCAATCTTGTAGATCTGAACAAGAGAACGGGCACAGGGTATAAACACGTGGGAAAGAGGAACCGAGCAGGAGACTCACATACATGCCTCCCATCTCCTAGACAGCCCAGGATGGCAGGACTGCCATTAGAGACAAGTAACCCACACTAAGCAGTGGGACTAGCCTGCAAGGACTATGGGAAAGCAGGATGACCTCAGTCCTGATGGGGTGCCGCAGGATCAGAAGATAACACCTCACCTTCTTATTGATCTCAGTGCGGTGATGGTAGCCTTTCTGCCCAGCCCGGGCCACAGAGAAGGCCACCCGGGCAGGATGCCATGCCCCAATACAGGCAACCTTGCGCAGCCCTCGGTGGGTCTTGCGAGGCAGCTTCTTGGTGTGCCAGCGGCTGGTGACCCCTGAAATGGACACGTTGTTACTGGACTGTCTGGCACTCATATGCCTTTGGCCCTTTCCTCTTGGGAAGGCCCACTTGAACTCATCGGTTTGTGAACAAACACTCAATGACTGGCAAGTACCAAGGACAGGCAAGTTTGATCCGCATATAACCCCTCTAATGGCCCTATCATTCCATTGATACTTGTCTAGCTATGAACCTTGAGTTCTTAAGGTGCAAACAGACCTTGAAGAACTGGTCCTCAACTAGAGGTCACACCCTCAGTCCCCCGACCACAGGGCTGTTTTCAGAAGGAAGGCAGCAAGGAATGTTTCCGCAGTCTGACTCGGGCGCTGTGCCCAGCGCTCATTCCACAGCCTCATCACCAAACAGCTGGGTCAGAGCCCCCTCCTCCCGAGTTTAACCACAGCAATCTGGCCACTGCAAAGCTCACCTTTGTAACCTTTGCCCTTGGTCACCCCAATGACATCAATCATCTCATCCTGTCCAAACACCTGGTTCACAGGGACCTGCTGCTCCAGCCTCTCACGGGCCCAGTCCAGTTTTTCGGCCACCGTGCCTCCATTCACCTGGATCTCCATGAGGTGGGCTTTCTTCTGGCGTAGAGGAAGCAGGCGCATCTAGAAGGAAATTACTTCAGCTTAGCTCCCTGTGCTTGTCCCGTGGAGAAAGAGCCTTATGCTTCGACTCCCCGATGGTACGACTCCCCTTTCAATTCTGATGAGCTAACCCTTAATGGGAAGGGGGCCCACACCAGGATAGCTCAACTTAACCAGATCGTGGCACCAACTAGCCAAATGTTCCTAATCCTTTGTTCGCCCTGGCAACCACCTCGCTCTATTAACCATCAACAAGAGAACAGGGTAGCATTACAAACAGTACAAACTGCATGATTAAGGGAACAAATTCAAACCTAAAGCTTTGAGCTGCTATCCTACAGAACTTTCTTCAATGATGGACTACTATAAATCTGTGCTAATGTGGTCACCATTAACTACACAGGGCCACTCAGCACTTAGGAATCAGAGCGTACACCCAGGATAGCGGCCCAGACCGCAAAGGAGGCACCCCCTCTATCCAAGCCAGCCAAGGGCTCCTTTGGCCAGGTTTGAAATGCTAACAGCCAGTACTTCACCACTGACTACTCTATTTTCAGTAGGCACTCAACAGTGTTCATCATGAGTCACCAATCCCTTCAACCAGTCTTCCTTAAAATGGGGTATTGTTTCCCTAATTAAGAGCCAATGGGGACACAGTGCCCTCTGCTGGCAAGTAAGATACCAACCCACAAGTGGAGGCACTGAATGCTCTACTCAGACCACTGGGTTCAGTGGGCCATGAGCAGGCCCCAGGAACCCAGGCTTTAAGGGTAGGAGGGCAGGGCAGTGTCTGGACTGCTGCGTGTAACTTCTAACAACCCCCAGGCTGCTCAGTGGCCTATCTCCTCTACTAGGAAATAAATTTGAGGAACCTGAACCAGTCTAACCAACCCCCTAAAATTCCGAGGACTGACGCAGAAGACAATTCAATCCTCCAAAAAGGGGGCATCTGATATTCAAAGCCCCACATGGTTATAAGTCTCCTCCAGACAGGAAGCAGCAAAGCAGCCCTCTTGGCCACATGGCTCACCTGGGTGTGGGCGATGACGCGGATGACCTGGCAGTACTTCTTCATGCTGTTGAAGTCCTTCTCCAGCTGCTTCTTGCCATCATCATCCTGCCACTTCTTGCAGTACTTGGTGAAGGCCTTCTTCTTAGATTTATGCCTTCAGGAGCAGAGCAGAGTTGGGGAAGGGGACCGGGTGCAGGCCTTCATCACCCCTCTGGGGGGCGAGAGGAAGGCACACAGGCACCACGTGGGGATGGGGCTCATTGCCGGCTTCTAAGGAGCCTTTTCCACCGGCAAGCGGAGCCTGGATGGAGCTCATCGGGCAAAGCCGAGCGGAGCTGAGCAGAGGTCCACAAGATTAATGTAATTCACAAACATTCAAACACACACCACAACAATTCTTGCTCCGGTCTAGCCATTACCCAGACCACACACCCAGAAAGGAGGACTGTTGAGTTACACGGCTTTCTCTTGGTTTCTAATTGGACTCTCAATACTTCCCAGCAACCAAGAAAACACTGAAAACTGCGTCCTCAGCCAACACACACTAAGCTGACCATAAAAAGGTCTTAAGGTGCTGCTCTCAGCTCAGTAAATCACTGGTTGCTCAAGGTCTGTCTCCAGGAATTGGTGTTCCAGAGGCAACTAACCCCAACACCAGAGCAGCTCCTTCCTTGCTAGAGTGAGAAGCCCTGCACAGGTGTTCCTTCTTTCCAGCCCCTAACCTGGGGTGTGCTTGCTGTCCCCCTCCCTTACCAGTTCTTATAGAAGCGCCTTTTGCACTCGTCACTGATATGCTCAGCAAAGATGGTTTTGAAGGTACGGAGGCCTCGAGGGGTTTCAACGTAGCCCACAATGCCCACAACCACCATGGGCGGTGTCTCCACAATGGTCACAGCCTCCACAACTTCTTTCTTGTTCACCTCTGCAAGGCAAACAGGTAGTCAGACTTAAGTGGACTAACCAGAATACCCAGTGAGGGATTAGTGTTTTGCAGAAAATGTGAAGTGCTCATATAGACCAAGAGGGCAACTTGCTTTAAGTAACAGGAAAGGTTACAGAAACAGGGCCCATGTCAGCAGTCTGGACTCCTGAGGGCTGTCCTTAACTACATACTTCTGTCTTTGTACAGACATTTTTAACTAAAAAAAAATACAGGACCCTAGAACCCAAGTGTTTTCTTTTTAAATGTTAACCCAGGCCAACCAGGCTTTTAACATGTACAGATATTATTGCAAACAGATTAATCTTTCCTAGGAAGGGATCTAGTCTTATGCAAAGGAAATACGATTTCAGACAACTAAAAGGTAAATTGTACTACTGAGCTGGTGAATGCTATATTTAGAAGTTACTAAAGACAATTGCTAATTCAAGTGAAGTTCAGATTCCTCAAAGTGAGTCACTTTTAAGAGGTTTATGTAGAGCACAGCTGTGCCCTGTTACATATTTATACCAAGTTGTTATTAAAAATGGCAGTGTTTCCACGTTCACTTCACCACGTCTTTTAAAATGCTTTCAAAAACCAAATTATTAGGAAATAAAAAAAAACTGCTTTGAACACAGATGTATTCTATTCTACTTTGAACCTCAGAACCCAGGAACATGGGTAGTATTCATGCTTTTTAGAATAGCTACTTCTCTACACTATGGCTCTTGACAAATTTACCCACATCACGCTTTTACTTCAATACAACCCTCAATATTAACAGTCCTAAAATACATTAATCTCCAACCTGCTATGGAAACAGTCTGTTATTCCTTTAACCTGCCCTCTTACAGTTTGGCCCCAAACTAGTCTGGTCCCCCATCAATTCCTAACTCCCCACCAGCTTGGAGGATACAGAGTGTACATACTAGATCCTGGCCTATCGACTTCCCGAACGATGTGAGTCATGCCAGCCTTGTAGCCCAGGAAGGCTGTGAGATGGACAGGCTTGGAGGCATCATCCTTGGGGAAGCTCTTCACCTTCCCGCGGTGCCGGCTGCTGCGCTTCCGAGGCAAGAAGCCCAGGGACCCATGCCTGGGAGCAGAGAACTTCCTGTGAGACTAGGAGAAAATGCCCAACATTAGTACCTGAACTTGTAACTCCTTGATTCCCAGCTGCCTAGATGGTCCTATGGGGGAGTCAGAGCAATGCTGAATCCAAACCAGAGATCCAGCAACCCATGAAAATGTTCAATTGGGTTTGCTTTTTGCAGGGTCACACATCCTGAGGCTGTATTCAACAACAACAAAGTTAAGTTGAACTGTCGTCTCAAAATCTCCTTTTATAATTTAGCAAAATGAGCCATCCATTTTTCTCTAAGTCAGACAAAAACACACCAAAAGTAGATTAACAGGTACCTTTATGATCAGAAAGATTCTGACCTCAAAAGGAACTTCTGGGACAAATGGATGGGGAGCAGGTAATGGGACTAAAGGCTCCTCTGGCTAAAATGATACATAGGCCACTAGAACTCGACAGAGCCAAATCAGAACATGACAATCAGCACACAGTTTCTGTCCGCCCGTCAGTAAGTTCATCATCTGCGGTTTCTGGGAACTCTAGAGGCCTAAGGAGTTGTCCCAACCGTCCCGGACATTTCACAATGAGGACTCAACAATCGCCACCGAGTCTCCCCTACCTACTGTTTTGACTTCTACACCTCCC